AAGAGGGAAAAACAAGAGAAAGCCATGTGACTTCTGTTTAAGGTTTTCAAACATTTTCTTTTTTAAATAGCTAAAAAAATACTGTGTTTGATTTGTTCTTTTAATTCTGACACCTAAAACGACTTTTCTGTTTGAGGTTATAAAACAAAGAACAGGGAAGGTTTTTGACTCAGATGCTGCTCAGACTTCTCTCATTGTCATCTTTGTATGTCTACATTTCTACAGGAGTTAATATTGAACTTTAGAAAACTTATTTTAAAATGGTGATGTCAGTGTTTAATTTACAAACCCATAAATCACACGACTGATTCAAGTGAATATAAGAGGAGCTGAAAACGACCTCAAGACATCAGAGCACAACACCTGAAGACTGAATAAAGCAGCGAATGTTACAGGAGAGTCTAAAGATGTGATAATCAGATTATTTACTTCAATCTCGTTTCAGATCTTTGGAGCCGATGACGTGGTCTGCACACGGATCTACGTTCGAGGATAACCGACGTCCTCCAAAACTCCCCATAACAAATAATCTGTCGGCGTGACAACTTCCACGTAACATCTCCATTAATCTCTTTTGATAGTCAGCATGTTGCATCTTTATGTAAATCACCACTTCAGCAGCTTATTACAGCCTTCTTCCCCTATTTTGTATATAATTTTTCTAGCATTGCAAAGTAAAACAATTTAAGTATGATTTCTTTTTGTTACAAGAAAAGCAGCAGCGGTCGTCCACACATTAAATAAAGTTGCTGGTCAAAAAAATAAACACATTTTTGTATCGATTTTCAGTGTGTACGCTGAGGACCTTTGTAAAAAGACCACCAGTGGAAATTAAGGTTGTTTTTTCAACCTTGCTAACGGCAGTATTTTGTCTTTTTATCCGCTATAACTGAGCTTTTACACACTAAAACTACAGTTTATCAGTGAGTCTTAAAAACACTGATTTAAACTCCTGTGGCTTCATAACTAACAGATCTAAGGACCCAACCTGTCAGCTTGCAGGGTGAAGCTTCAGTTTCCAGTTCAAACATGTGTGGTTGAATTCCTCCAATTTTACACCTAGTCTTTGTGTTGTAGGTTAGCTGGTGTGCTCGAGCTGGGGGAACTCACACTGTAGAGCTACATGTAAGCCGTTTTAAGAAGGAAAAGGATTATTTTCAAGGGAAAAAACATCTAAAAAAGTACTTTTGATAGACAGAGAAGAGTTTTTAGGGGCTAAACTAATGACCAGAGGGGGACTTTAAATAATAAGTCATCCATTAAATAAAAACCACAATGACAGGAATGGGGCTGCAAGGTGGCTCGGTGGTTAGCACCGCTGCCTCGCAGCTACAAGGTCGCCGGTTTGCGTCCTGGTGAGGGCACCTGGGATCTTTCTTTGTCCCCATGCAGCTTGGGTTCTCTCCGGGTTCTCCGGCTTCCTCCCACACAGAAACATGTTGAGGTTAATTGGTGATTCTAAATTGTCCGTAGGTGTGATTGTGAGTGTGTTTGGTTGTCTGTCTCTAAGTGTAGCCCTGTGATAGACTGGTGACCTGTCCAGGGTGTCCCCTGCCTTCACCCTAAGTCAGCTGAGATAGACTCCAGCCCCCCATGACCCTGGTGAGGATTAAACGGTGTATAGATAATGGATGGATGGATGACAGGAATGGAGAAAAAAAAGAAGTGGTCAGCTGAGTTTCTGTCTACTCAAAGGATAGTTTAATGCCAAACACCATACTAACACTCATGTACAACATCGTAAAAGTCAAGAGAAGAGACACATTAAACGAGGTACAAACAATGTCTTTATGTACAATCAGCTCTCCCGGGACTTCCTGTGGTATTTCCATATTAAACACGGTAAATATAAAAATAAAAACACAAGTAATAAACTGTTCCAAGATTGTCTGCGGCTGGTTATGTTACTGATCACTGCCTTGAGTGGAGCTCGAGAAAGGACGACATTTAGTCAGGCAGCGTTCTTTTGCGGTGTGTTGTCATATGTCCACCCTGCCCGTGTTATGAACCATACGTCAAGATTATTAAGAACTAACAAAATGAATGTTTTGAAGTTGACAAAACCTGTTTTCTCAAATGTATGTTTCTAATGTGAAACTTTTAACAGCATTTAACGTGACGGATGACCATCTCCCATCCGACCTCACTTACGTCTACAGGGCCAATTCCAATTTTAGTAAACTGCAGAGAAGAAAAGGCAATATAAAAAAAAAATCCCAAGTTTACATCCCTCTTTTAAGGGCGTACAACATTCACATTTGTATTTCAGCGAGAAATACAAACCGATAGCTTTGATAAACAGCGACTGCAGGAATTATTGCTTGTTCTCTTGATCCTTAAACTGTACACACGGCTGACATTCACGCTCAGACCGACTGTTCAGTGTTTGTCGTCAACACTGCCTATAGAAAACGAACTCGTGTACAGACTTCTTAGGTGATACACTGAGATACCGCTGAACCTGTGGCGCAGGTTCTAACCATTTTGCAAAGTTTAAATACGAGAAAAAAGTCGACAGCACTGTTAAGACTTCAGTACTTTGAAAAATAGACATACAGTATACTTTACTTTCAAAAAGGAGAAATTGCTGCTCAGCTACATTCAATCATCTCAAAACCATGAGAGAGATACTGATGCCTGAAGGTAGAAATGCACAAAAGGGATCCAATCACGTAGAAAATGAGAACTTTTCTATTAACAGAGCAACAACACGTTCAACAGATCACAAACAAAACAAAAAGAAAAAACTCTGATTTTAACATCCTTTGGTAAAAAACTGTTAAAACTTTGCATTTTCTTAATAAAATTCTCTGCAACCTCTAGCTAAAGAACGATACTATGTGTGTTAACGGACGCTACACATCAATGACGTCTGATAAAAAAAAAAAAGAAAAAAAAATCTAGATATAAACAACGTATTTACACAAAGTGTTTTGGGCAATCATAAATTATTGTACTCGATACACAACGCCGAGCATCTACCCAGCAGTCGTCAGAGATGTTGAATATATATAGAGTGCACTATTGCACCTTTACCACCGAAAGGGAAAACATTCACAGGCTATACAAGTTTACAGCTGGAAGCCAGACTGAACCCCAAGTCGCAGTACACACATGTTAACGGAGGTAACGGGTCTTTGTTCTTGCTACCTAAAAGAGAAACGCTGAGGTTGTTTTGTTTTCTATGAAATGATGAGGTGTCAACACTTTCCTCTGTTAAGGTTGCTTTGTTGTTTTAGGTGCTTAAACTGCACCAAAAAACAAGATGCATTAAGGGGCGTTTTCTCTCTGTAATAATCTCATGTAAAAATCTGCATTTAATTATATATTGGAATTATTCAGGCAGGTGGGGTTTTTTCTCCAATATAAGGACAGCAACAAATCTCCTACTTCACATCTGTTGCTGTGTCAGCTTGAAAGATGTGCAAAAAGTGAAATATGTACATCCCATTTGAAGTACGGATCGACAACCCCAAATAAAAACTTTTGGCAACTGAATCCAGTAACGGCAGGTCGGAGAATTCATCCTGGGCGGTTTGTCGTGTGAAAACTGCCACAGTTTATGGAGAGACGTGTACTACAGTGTTCTGTACTTCACCCGGTACTTGTTAATGTTGAGATAGTGGAGGACCTCGGGGCTGCAGGTGGTGGTGCAGGGCAGCAGGCCTTCCTGTCGATCTCCCATCAGCCACTTGTTGCTGTCGATGGCCATGTCACTGGTCACGTGCTCCTTGGCCCAGGAGTCCAACCAGGCCTGGAAGCGTCTGTGGAGGCGAGTGTTCACCCGCTGGTGGGACTGAAACAGACATGAAGCAGAACAGCACAGCTGAGCAAAGGTAAATCAAAGGAAGTATGTTAATAAAAGAGCCCTCTCATTTATTCTGCTTAGTAAAACATCAAGACAATATGTCTCCAGTGAACCGTAGAAAACTCAAGACTCTCCTGCAGTCTGGTTGAAGGCCAAGCAGGAAGTCTTTAATCTTTAGAGACCAGGAGACAAATAAAGGTTTGTAACAGATGTGTGGTTTTTTCTTCAAAGGCTACAAAAATGGAGTCTTTTTTCATAAACGTGAAACAACAACCATCCTTAAGAAACAGTGAAAATCATATTTTTACTTCAACATATCTATCGTCATTTTTTATACACTAGAAGACATATTACAGCCCAAATAAGCAGTGACCACCACTGCTGAGCATTTCCAACCTAAAGCTGCAGCATACTGACAGTATCTAAAGGGTTTCATATGGAAGAAACTTAAGCAACCAATCCTGAGTCAACAAGCAGAGAGGAGCCCTCTGTATCAATATTTAATCAGGTGCAAGCATGAATTACTCCAATACTACATTGTGTAGTGTGTAGTAGTTGTACAGTGTTCTGAGCAGAGTTGTAGGTGAGCTGGTGTGCTGAGCTGCAGTGAGTAGTGGAGGGGAGGGTAGAGAGATCTACACAGTCTGGAGGATGCAACAATGCAGAGCTACATTGAAGTCATTTTAATTCAGAAAATGTGTAACTTTGATACATGAAGGAAGTGTTTTTATGGGTTTCACTAAGGACCAGAGAGGGACTGTATGAGCTGTCCTTGCAACCCAAACATCATTTAGCAGGTTTAATATGGACTTTACAGTTGTATGACTTCAATGAGCCAAAGAAGAAAAATCATGCAACTGCAGGCATCTCTGCCACAATCCAACAGCAACATCCATCCATCTGACATATTCAGGGAAACTGACCATCTGTTTGTAAAAAGATAAATCGGCACAAAGTAGCATCTCATCACTAGAAAAAAACGTTTGTTTTACTATTTACACACTGCTTACTTGATAACATTAAAACAATGTGTAAAACAACACGAATGTATGTCTTGTATGTGTTCTGAGCACAAGCTTATGAAGTTTTCTGCCTCTAACGCTGCAGTAGTTATGTATCTGCTCTGGCTGGTCAAGCTTTTCCTCATGTTACACCTGAAACTCTAGTGATTGGCTCAAAAGTTTCTATTTTCATATTAAATGATCCTGAAGAAACCCGGTCTCATCTTGCCTGTTCTACTGTGTATGTACAGCAAAATGATAAACTTGATTTGACTGATATGCAAAGCTGGGTTCACGTGTTTGGTGGTTATGAGTGACTCTTTGTCGTCATAGAAACTGCACGATGCTGGCAGACCAATGTGAGAATGTTTTTGATTTCCTTCAGATTACTTATCACTCAATTCTTGTACGGAAACTACAGCAAATGAATTAGGAAGCGATAACAATTTATGGCAAAACTCATGCTTGGTATTTTCTAAACTTTTTTTTTTTCCATCTAACTCTCATTTTATCAGGCAAGACGTGAGGAAGAGTTTATTTACAACAACTAGGTAAATGTCAGAAAAGTGTTGGGGAGGGAGACTCGTTGTACCAACCTGATGTGCCCGTGTCAGTGCTGTGTGTCTGTACATGTAGTCCTCTGACTTGCAGACATAAACCATCTTGTAGGAGTTCAGCTTGAACATGCACTCCATCTTCAGCTCACTTTTGCCGTCCTGCAGCTTGTCCGAGGAGCCCTTGGTCATTCTCTCCTGCTGCAGCTGCTCCCATCCTCTCTGGCACTTTCGTATCCGTCTCAAATTCCTGAAAGCCAAAAAGACATTAACAGCTATTAATAATCCGGACTGATCCCAAAAGAAAAAAAAAAATCTTTTGATTACTCCAAACATCAAACTGCTTTATTTTCTAGATTCACTTGTTTTATGGCACAATTTTATATCTGACAGTATGCACTGAGCAATTTCAAAGCCTAGGGGGATGCGTTCATTCACAATGCACATGACAATAAGCAAATTTGAGAACAGTATAGTCAGATTTGAGAAGACTGTCCCATTAAACAGTTATTTTTAAACCCATGCATTGCAACTCACCGAGTAACGGGGTTAATCATTTGGGGAGTCAAATAATTTGTGGGGAAATGTGGATCTATAAGAGCAGCAGAGGCAGCAGTTGTAAAATTTCTGTACAGTGCACTTCCGTTGCACAGCCACATTGTTCAAATCTCAATATGCTCGGCAAACAATTGGAGATTGATCCCGATTTTGTGCAGGCAATAAAAAAAATGCAATTATTCACCCCACCTGAATGAAAGTTTTAAATGTGTACTTACCACAGAGGGTACAGGTGAGCGAGGACTGAAGCCATGAAGCATTTTTTTTGCATTCAGGGCTCCACTTAAAAGACATGACAGTGAGGCCAATTTCAAGTAAAAACTGTTAGAAACAAACACTAGAAAATTGCTGCCTGACCAGAAACCAATTCAAAATATGAGCTGAGAATACTTTGATGTGCACATACTTTCACCAACAATGTACAGTGTTATGATCATGAGATGAAGACCCAACACAACTGGAAAAGAAACTGCAGAAATTTCACTGCCATTGAAGATTTTTTTTTTGTTTTTTTTTTCGTGAAGAAAGGGCCAATTCTTTGGACCTCATGTGCTGCTGATCTCTCATAGATTTAACGAAAAGGAAAAAAAGGACAAGATGTGGGTGAGCCCACTGATAAATCATAGTCAGGTACCAGATTTATGCAATGGGTTAAAATAAGAGAAAACTAGGAGCAACTCTTTGTTTAAAAAGTCTTTTGAAATGTTTATGGTAATGGACAGCCATCTCAAAGAAACAAACAAAAAAAACTGAAAAAAGCACCAAAAAGAAGGACAGACAGGCTTCATGTGCAACACTCATCCTGAGTTTTAAGACAAAGCGGACTCAGCCACGCCTTCATGCACAGCTCTGAGGTGTCGGGAAAGAAATACACCAACATGTGAACATACAATTTAGACAATCATTTTATTTACAAACCCTACTCCTCTGTACAAGTGTTGCAGATAATGTGCTTGACCAGAGTTTTAAAAAAAACCTATGAGCACTATTCTCTGTCAAACCAGTGGAAAAAAATATCTCACCAACAGCAAAAAGTTGCAACGGGAGTGCACTGTTTCCACTGAAAATTATTACAAACATAACACTGAGTATAACAGACTTAAACAAATGGACATTTGAACATTTACAGTTGCAAACAGTGATTAAGTCACATACAGGACCTTCGATCTGAATACAATCACAAACAAAGGGCATGATAAGTTAGAAAAGGAAACCATGACTCCCCGTCCTCTCTTCACAAAGTCTCTCAGGTTCTACACAAGAGCTTCAGTCTCTCTAACTCAGGTCAAAGACATCGTAGAAAAATAACATAAAAGTGACAAAAGATGAAACCCATTTGTTTTGCTTTCAGTTTGAGCATTCAATGACTTTTGTTCTTACATCACACAATGAAAATCATTATTTAAACTTCATACAATGTGAATAATCAAACCAATAATTCCATTAACTTGTCTGCTAAGGTGGAAATTCAAGAAACCCACGATCAATCCAAAACCATCTTAAAAAACGTCACTAATAATAAATAAAATTCCCATTAAAAAGGAACTGAATGAATAAATAAATTCCATTATTTTGTTTTTTTTAAAAGATGTAAAGTGCAATCTTCCATGTGAGGCAGAGGTCAAAAACTGAAAGAGTCACGGCCAATGAGATTCTTAACAGACAGGAGGATGTTCTGGCACCGCAAGCACTTCACTGTCGAGTTAACTCCGTTTAACCTCCACGGACCTTATTGAATCTGTTACTAAAAGAGCTCTTACGCCCACATTTTTTGTGATAATGGAAAGCTTTCTAAGTCAGGCTTGTGCCGAGGTGCCACTGTTTCTATCTCTGAAAATGAGGTGTGTTTGGCAGCTGGTTTGGCTGGTCAACAGTGGAGTGGCTGCTCAGCCGACTAGCGCCTCAGGACAGAAGCTTAAAAGTGTGCAGACAAGAAGGGGGACATGGCTGGAGCCTCACCTGGGGAGGAACACCGGCTTCTGGGCCAGATGCTCACGCAGCTCTGAGGATGTAGAATCTGAGTTCAGGTACCTGCCCACGTAGTCTGACCACCTCTGTGGAGGACAGAGAAAACAAACGCATTAGGGCTCCAGGATAACTTTTTAACTTCCTCGGGAGGTCAAACCTCCCACCTTGGCACAGGCAGGAAGCTTATTGATAGACAATAGAATTTACTGATGTTCCCTAAACGCCTCACTGTGCAGGCTGCGGTAGATGCTGCTAGGTGGTCTAGTGTTCTCAGACAGGCGTGTGAGCAAAAATTATTTGGGGGAAAAAAGAAAAACAAGGTGTTCTAAAGTCAGATTTCTAAATGTAAATACCGCAGTCGATCATGTTCATATAGTTGTGGGAAGCTAAAATCCTGACTGTGAATAAGACCCACTTCATTTTGCAGCTGGGTTAGCCATTGTTATTGAATTTACTGCCTTTTCCCCTTCAGTCAGTATCTTCCTGCCAGCATATTTTACTTCCAGTGGCTCTTGTTTAAGCAGGTTCACTCATTTTAAAATTCTAAACGCTGTATTTATTGTTTTGTTTTGTTTAAGGTTTCTTATTTGTGTATTTCTTTTATTTTCTTACTGTGCATCACTGTCAAAGAAGCCTCCATACCTCAATGTAATCTGAGTTTAAATAAAGGTTGAATGAATATTGTTTACTAAAGCAGACTGAAGGTTATGGTCTTTGGAATATTTGACCTTTAATCACAGTGTCTCCTTTTGGGTTATTAGGATCACAAATCATAAATGTACTCACCATATAGCACAGTGCAGAGCACAACAAACATTTATAAATCAGCCAATGTGAGCTTATCACACACATATACTGGTATAAACACACGTCAACCAAATACTAATGCAAAATTGGAGTCCAGAAGCAACAAAGATATGATTAACATAGTTTAAAACCAGCGACAACAATACTCTACAGAATATTTAATTATCAGTTGAAGTCTTTCAATTAGCATACTGTATATCTATATGGAAAATGCTCGTCTTATTTATCTAGTCTCAAATAATTTACAACGCTTACAAATCTTGTTTTTACTCAAGTACTGTTTCAAAAATCTGTCCTGAAACACGAACATCATACCACCAAGGCTTGTCTTCTGTAGACACATTTTATGTTGGTATTTTATACACATAACAAGTAAACCCAAGAAGAATGACAAGAATGTAGGAAAAAGACCATTATAATCCCATAAAGCCAACACCAACAGTTATAAAAATTCCTACAAAACACAGTAATGCAGCACATATACTGGAAACAGGAAATATTCCTGCTGATTGGCTCACTGTGGCTGTATAAATCTCTTAAAACATCCATAATCGAATTAGTTGGTAACAAATCACTGACTAACACCTACTGATGTACATTCTGGGGGTGTAAAACATTAGAAACATGCTCAAATATCATGTGACACACCACTAAACTCAATAATAAATATTCATAACAGTCATATATAAGTCTACCTAATAAACTGCAGACTTAGTGCATGAACTGTACTTGAATGAGTCTTACTTCTGCCTCTGCCGGCTCATCAGAGTTCTCCTCTTCTGTGTCGAGCAGCTCCATTGCCAGACTGACAGAACCTCGGCTCTTCACGAACATCAACTGAGAAAGACACAAGAAATCAGGAGAAAAGGCCTATAAACAAAGTGCTCAAAGAATTTCAGCTCGTCATGCAATATTATCGTTTAGGTCTGGTCTTTCTGTACCTTGAAGCAGTTCTCATCGGACATAAGCTGCTCTGCCTTGCGCTGGTAGACGCCCTCTGCTGTGGTCCTGGACGTCTGCGTGGACAAAGTGCCTCCCGTGGCTTTGTTGGCACTTTCGCTCAGGTACATGTCGGTTACACGCGCACAAACATCATCGGTGACGAGGTGCTGGAGCTGTGGAAGCAGCAGGTTTAGTATGCAACGGATGTGTCCACATCAGCACAGAGGCTATAAGTAACAGCAGTGAAGGAAGTATTGCATGTTCAGTCATCTGTCGTATATTTATTATAGAAGTTTGAACAACAGATATTTTATTTGGAGCATCTTGTTTTAGTCATTTTCTTTGTCTTTTCTTACCAAATAAAAATGTGCATTTGCTTCGGCCTAAAAGACAAACCTTCATGCTCAGTTAAAAACTGTTTTTATTTGCGAAGCTAAAAATGTTCAAGATTTGATGTGAACTACATAAAATACAGAAACTAAGCACTATGACGTGAGTGACAGAAATCCAATTAAATGACATGATTTTAAATGTGCTGACCTGCCGGACAATGCTCTGGATGAGTTTGTCCATGGTGAAGGCAACGTAGGCATGGATAGTAAACATTTCCCTCAGGGAGTCCTCGTACTGAGCCGGCTCCATGTTTCCATCCAGAAGATTACGCACCATTTCCAGAAACACTGAGTAATAGTCCTCCACGTCCACGTCCACTGCAGGCGGAAAATAGCACGTTTTAGGTTAAATGGAAAGAAATCACAAAATACGATACGCCTCGAGTACGTGGAGTAATAATCAAAACCAGTGCTAGTGAAGATTTTAGTAAAACTTCAATTCCTGACTTACTTGGCTCTTTCATCTTCAGTTGGATTGCTGGATTTTCATTTTTCTCCCTTTTGAGGCCCAACACTTCTCTTTCCCACTCTCGCTCTCGAGCATCCTCCTCAATCTGCTTCTCAGCCTGCCCGTAGATCCGCAGCAAACGAGAACAAAGGATGTGGTGCAGACGAAGGAAGATATACCAGTAGTTGTTCACAAAGAACAAGTTATAGGCCTCGTCTGTGCCACGCAGCTTCTGAGCGGCCGTGTTGCTGAACAGCAGTTTGGACTTTGATGGGCTGCTGCCCGGCAGACCGTTGTGCTTCTTGGGGCCGTCTTGATCTGCTTCCATGTCTTCCTCCTCCTCCTCTTCTTCCTCCTCCTCCACGTCAGAGAGCTCACCTCGCCGGGCAAACAGCAGGTCAGGGATGAAGTGGTGGATTATCTGTTTGATCTTGCACTTGTCTTCTTTCTGGATGCCCACCTGTCTTTTGACGTGGTGGATGATGAGGGCAGCAGCATCCTCCAGGATCTGGCTGTCGTCGTAGGTCAGGGTCATGTGTGGGCCGCTCAGTGGCAGCGTAGAGGTTTCCTCTGATGCTCGCTCCTGGCGCTGCAGGAGACAAACAGGGAAAAAAATTAATGGATTTTGAAATTTTAGATATTTCTCTTATAATATATCCACAAGCAAAACATGTAGACAACATTAATTTGCTAATCAACAAAAAATTCAAATATGTGGCCAAAATGTAAGACAGGTAAGTAGATTGTTTGACCTTCGGAGCCTGTCAGGCTAATTTTGTAAATGGTTATAAACGAGCTAAAAAAAAAAAAAAAGCCAATTACAGTTAATGTTCAAGCCTAATTAGCTTTATATCTAAAAAATCGTTTAATTCTTGTAGACTCTGAGGCTGAGAGAACCAGCCCTTCATCCTCCCTGACAGCTGAAGTTCATCTCTTCACATCAGCACCAGAGGAAAAACAGTATGTTCAATTGTTCTAATGTTTTCTGTACCTGATGTATCAAAAGACAATAATTGTATAGTATTTATTAGTCTAGACAATAATAGTAATAATAGTAATAGACAAAAGTTGTAACAAACATGTTTACATCTAAAAATGTATAAATATTTCTGCATTTTTAATAATGTGCTGTCATGTATTATTTCTTATCAACACTGAACTACCATGTCTACTACTCCGTCTCTAATCACTATGAAATACAGTCAAGAAAACAAGCTTCCTTACGTCATCGTATAGCATCTCAATTTCATTGAGCAAGGTCTTTGAACGCAACACTTTGGTGTCATTCTGCTTGAAGTTGATGCCTTGATGGTCGAGTGACTTCAGGTAATACTTTTCATTCTGCTCCCGCCAGATTTTGTTGAAGCCTCTCTGGGCTTCTCTCCACTCCTCCTCCTTCATTTTTAATCTGAAACCGTGACAAACACAGTGAAGCACAACCTTGAGTGGCCCCTACAGTGAACCCTATAAAATATGAACAATAGGCAGAGAAGAATCAGATGTTACCTTTTCAGCACTATGGGGACAGATACAGCAGGATTCCTCTTGAGGCCGTCAATGATATCGTGGGCTTTGTCCCCGTATATCCTCTGGATAGCTTTGCGGTGAATGACCTCTGACGAGCCTCCCATTGTGTTGTCCAGCTTGAAGCGCAGCTGCTCCTCAGCTGACATGCGAGAAAGCCTCCGCTGCACCGTCTCCAGGGCTCGTATTGTGGCCAGGTTGGTTTCCAACACAACATCCAGCTAAATGAAACACAATCACGGTGAAATGACTTACTGAAGAGTTTAATTATGTCATGTTTTCCCTCAATATCTAAATCTCAGGCTATCCTGTGTTCTTTTGACCAACAGTTTTTATTTGAGTATGACTGGACCAAGGATTCCTCACCTCAAAGCGCTCATCCTCGCATCTGTAAATGTGCTCCTCATATTGAGTCTTCTTGGAGCTCACAAATGTGGAATCTTCAGACCACGATGGAAACGACACCCATGTGTCATTCAAAACCTGCAACAGGACACTCGGCTTACTTTAAATTTCTTGCAAAGCATTTGTATAAAGACTCATCTGCAATGTTTACTGCCATCAGTGAAAAACAAACTAACAAACAAAATAAATTACGTGCAAAAAAAAGTTAGATACTCAAACCTGACTTAGTGCAAATATTCAAACTTGTAAACCAATTACCATTTCAGGAATTTAGAAGGGAAAACTCAAAAAAAAATAAATAAGTGGTTTAACCTAATTGTACTTTTATAGCAATAATCACAACATATGTAAATTGTCTGTCTTCTCAGATGTGAGGATGTGTTGCCTTTTGTGTCATATTGTCATTTGAAAGGATTTTCTGATAAAAAATTAGACAAAATAGCAATGAAAAGACACATGTATTACTTTATCAACTTTGGCGTTTTTCAGATTAAATGCAAAAAATGACCAAAAATGAAAATATTTAGTGTATCCCTGCTTGTTTAATTGCCCCATAGGTTACTAATTAGTGTTGCTATCCATTGATCCAGTAATAACACATTTTACTGGCATCTAGTGGCTTGTAAATGTTACATTACAAGCACCATCTGAACACAACATTATTTTCTGCTGCTAGGGCGGTTGTTTGAGCCAAACACATCGATCCTGTTGTACCTGCTGGCCCTGTGAGTGAGAATAAATGGGTTACAATGACATAAATACCTTTAACAAGCAGACTTCCTCACTCACCTCTCTGCACAGCGGCGTCCTTCCTGTGCACTTGGGCTGCTGGTAGCTCTTCGGCAGTGCTCTGTAGCTGGAACCCAGCCTCTTGCAGGAAGCGTAGTCGATCTCCATGGCGATGCCCTCTGTTGCACGCTCCTTGGGTAAACTCTCCGCATGGCTCGACTCCCCATGACTCGACTCTCGGTAGCCCAAGAAGTTCTTAAACCATGTAAAAAGCTCTGGGAATTTTCTGTTAATCATGCAACAATATACATTAGTTAACAGTGAAGTTGGGGGTCAAGTGTTGACAGAGATGGCAACCGAAACACTGGCACTGATCATAAACCCTTCCACTATTTGTGAGAGCCAGAAAATATTCAAATGGATTTTCAACTTTCTGAAGGTTTTGTAACTAATCATGTCTGACATGTGGTTCATTGGGAAAATTTACAATGATGACGCTTTATCAAAGTCACAAAAATCTAAGTCTCATATAAAAATTTGTCAAAATAGCTAGTAGCTAAGCTGCAATCAACAATGATTTTACAAGAATTCAGTTCAGTAGGGTATGAATCAGAGATGTTGAGAGCAAAGTGAAGCATATTTGAGCAATAAAACAAATGCAGTACAGCTCTAAAACAATACACAGAGGGACAAGTTGTTAAAAGACACACTTAGCATGGTAAAACATCTTCCTACGGTTGGTGTGCAGAGTGGTGGGAAAACATCTTGTTTGTAGAGATTGTAAAACATTTACAGCATGTGGAGCCATGTGACTGAGGAGTAACAAAATGACTTGGTTTCATATCACAGTACTGAATACATGTTTAGGTACGTAGTTAATTCGTGTAATTCGTCTTAGTGACTATAGGTATAGGTAACTGCAGCCCCCAAAGACTGTGTTGTGTTTAAACTCACCCGAGAAATGGGATAACTAACTGGACCAGCTCAGTGCGGGAAATGACTTCCTGGTTAAAGATGTGCAGACACCGCAGGAAGTTGTCGTACGCCTCAGAGCTCCGAAGGGCCTTCTTCACCTGTTCAGGGATGTCCAAAAAAAAAATAAAAAAGTTGAGATAATTTAATCATGTGTTTAACATTGTGAAAATAAGGACTTACTGAGTATAACAGTACTGACCTTCTCAAAGAACATCGTTTCAGTGCTGGTGCTATGTTTGCTGACTTCACTCATGCCATGGTCCTTCCCCAGTATTTTGGGCTTCTTCTGCAAAGGTATAAAGAAATGACAAAATTCTGACTGTTGTCCACTCTAAAAAATGACTTGGATAAAAAAAAAAAAAAAAAAAAATGGATATTTACTGATGTAAATGTATAGTTTGGTGTCGTGATCCAAACAACAAGGGAGTTAAAAAAAAAAAAAAAAAAAAAAAAAAAAGCAGCAGAAAATGTCATACATTATATATTATGAGGCTTGGGTAGATTCTAATAACTCAGGTCCCAGTGGATCGCATAAATCCATCTGATACTGACACAATCTAATTAAATGCTCATAAAGATTATGGAGGCAGCATGTAGAGCTAAATGAAAGGTTTTTTAATATGTAATAGACTCTCATTGATATAAAAAGAATCAAACAGTGCAAACAGATGAATATTTGCAGAGTGTGTACAGAGGCGTGTACCTTGAGAGGCGGTGTGGCGCCCACTCCAGCAGGTCTCCTGATGGGCAGGCCGTTCTGGCTCAGCCTCTGTTTGTTGTTCAGTAAGGGCCTCTTTACTGTGCCGCCATGATCATTACGAACCGACTCTGCCCTGTCTGGTGCTGCCTTGCTCAGCAGCTGAAAGAAGAGCAGAACACAACATAGTTTCACCAAACAGAAGCAACAAAATTAACAGGAAGCAAAGAAAATGTGTGTAAATACAGTATTAACTTTGTGTAAGGTCATTGGTTGTAGCAGACAAGCAACTAGGTTGGTGTTATCGATTTAATTCCCAAAGCACGGCAAAAGTTGCTGTCATTTTACAGTAAAAACACAGATTTTAAACTACTGAGCACTTGCTGTGACAGCCACAAAAATATTGGTGTAATAGACCCCAGTTGATAGGAATGGATCCCCACCCACCCACCGTTTGGCACTCATGCAAACTGCTGATTCACCGAAAAATGTGACCATCATAGTGTGAAATACAGCTTTACTGCTGCTGTTACTTTTTAAATTAACTAAAAGTGCACTCAGTGAGCACGATCCTCCGCCAAGACTAATGCCCCATCCCATAATTTTAAAAAAAGTGATCCAGAGCCACAGCAATTTAATCGAGCATGATTCACCTCTCTATCAAATTTCAGGAACAGTTTCCTAAACCTTAATGCAAGGTTGCAGCGACAAGACACAAAGCAGTTGAGTTCACATCAACAGGACATGGCCAAAGCAGCTGATAGCGACAGTCACGACAGTATTTGTCTCCCCGTCCCTTTTATTGCAAATTCAAAAACTGATTTGAACAGTCACTCAAAAAGTTATAACACGACTCATGAGTTTTGTGAACTTTTGCACCCCGACGTGGCACCAACAAAGAAGATCGTTTTAAATTTTCATTGCGTTTCTCAATAAGTGTGACCTACTAAGAGGCTCAAAAGATTTGTTCAAGTTTACATAAAGCAAAATTGGTGATCTCTGTGATTTAAAAAAAGGTTAAATCAATGAAAGAAAAACAAAAACCCTGTGACGATCCTTGTACCTCAAACAGAACCCATAGATTTCCAGACTTTCTGATTCCACAGTCAGTAACAATCACAACAACAACCACATTAGTTTGTTAAAGTTTGAGTGCTTTCACAGAGACTCACCACTGAGCTGTTGGCATCAGGCAGGAACTGTCCAAACTCTGACAGCAGGTCCTCTTGGTTCTTGAAAAGTCTTGCCACTTGAGTGTAGACCTCCTGCTCCGTCAGTGCTGGAGTGTAGTTACCTCCTGCCTCTTTAGCATTCCGCTGTTCCTTCTGGAAATTTTAAAATTCAGAAAGCAGTTGTGAGTTTAGCAGTGGGCGTCATTTTCTTTTCTACACTCTTGCGCTGTGTGGAAACAAGCTCATGCATTCTATGATGACTGAATTTTGTTTGTTTTTTTACTGGTGTGCACTTCCTCACCTGGTACGTGTGCAGGATTTCCAGGAAGGCTTTGTAGATGTCTGGCTGACCCTGGAAGCGGTTCTTGATCTTGTTGACATAATTTATAGCGTGGTTGAACTCCACTGGTTGGTTGTTCTGGAGTGGCGGCCCGCTGGATGGCGTGCTGCTGACAGGAGTGTGCGACTGAACTGAAGGGGAGCGTGGAGAGGCGTAAGATGGGATGGATGGATTGGGCTGGCTGGTAGGTGTGTGGGCCGGAGACTGAACTGGCTGTTGAGAGAAACAATAGAACATTATGACACCCATCTGTCTTGGAAAACAGGACCAAATTGAAGCCTACTACACTCACTCAGTAGCAAATACAGATTATGTTATTCTACCTTGCTGGTTTTATTTGGAGCGGGCTGGGCAGGGATGGGCGGGGTGGTGGTGGTCGTGTGAGTGCCAGCCTGCGGCAGACTCTGGTGCTGGTGGTGGCTCGCAGGTTGGCTGGGTGCTCCAGTTACAGGGATGTTCTGAACAGAAATACCATGCGGGGTGATGTAGTGGATCTGACCCGGCGTGGTCACATTGACTAGATCGTTGGTTTGAACCTCAATCTTATAACCAGGTGGCAAGAAAGTGTTAAAGCCCATAATGAGGTCTGGGTGGCCCTTGAAGAGTTGGGACACACGGTTGATGACTCCAGGAGTGTCTATGCTGTAGTTACAGAAAAAAAGATAAAGTAAAGTAAAGTAGTTTAGTATCCAATTCAACGTCAACTGGGTGCACAGATGTTGTTTTGCAAGATATATGTTGAAATTTCATACATGGAAATACGATTCTTTGATCTTCTCCAGATGAGGAGGGAACTGGTGATAGAATTAGAACTCACCTCTGTGACTTGAACTCTTTCATAATATCAAGAAAGTCATTATAAACTTGTGGCTGATTCCCAAACTGCAGCTTCACTTGATCCAGATAAGACAATGCATCTTCAACCTACAAAAAAAAAAACAAAAGTGAAAAATTATTCATAGATTACCCCACCCAAAATCTGTTACTCTGCCAAACGGAAGTAATAAAGTTTTAAAAACCATACCAGCTTAATTACTAGTTTGTGCTTTGTCAAATAAGCCAAATTATTTTTTCAGCTGGTGATTTCATTGTCATATATCAATACACTTGGCTCAGACATCTGTTTTTATTAGTTAATTTTAGCAGATAGACTTTCATGCTCATAACTTTGTCCATACCTTCAGTCGCTGAAACTGCTGCTGTCCTTGGGTTGAAGTCATGGGTGCAGGTGGGTGAACGTGACCCTGGACCACTGCAGGTCCCTGTGGCTGAACTGCTAGACTGTGTGCATGGGGACCAACATGAGGTGCAGGTGCAGTACTGTTGTGTCCATGTCCATGTCCATGTCCACTTGTGCTCTGAGGCATTGTAGGCACCTTTAAGGAAGAAATATACAGGAAATTTCAGAATCAAAACAAAGAGAGATACAAATAAAGACAGACAATTATGAGAGACAACTATGTCCTCAGTGGGGTTGCATAAAGTCTTGTAAATTTTACATTTATACTGAATAAAGGCCTTTTGAAAAGTTGGATTTACATATACACACTAAAGTTAGATTTTAGCAGAAAGCTGAGGCTGGTCAAAGCTAATCTAAAACCCAACTGGATACAAGAGAAACTCTTTGAGCCAGTTGCACTGATATCATCGTACCTGGTAGCCCTGGGGGAGGGAATATTGGATGCCGGTTGATGGCTGCATGGTGTCTGCAGCTGCCTCTATCACGGTAGGGGCCGGGGCAAGGGCCCGGTGCTGGAAGCCTTCTGCAATACCTTGCACTGGGGGTCGACGTGGCTGCTGTTGCTGGGGCGCAAATATTGGTTCCTGGTCCTCCGCACGCCTCTTCATTGTATACACATACTCAAAGGGGCTGTAAAGGACAAACACATGGAAAATTAACAGACTGTTGGCAAGTAATTGGTCTGATGACCTTTAATAAATAGTTCAAAGCATTCTTCAGGCATGTGCTGTCTATATTTATTTTGCAGTTAGAAAATGACAAAAAAAAATGTCAGGGGTTGACAGCCCTATAATATACTTTCAATAGTTTTTTCTTTTCTTTTTTTTTTTAAAATAAAGTCATTAATCTCAGTACTGCACAGCTTGCAGGAAAAAAAAAAGACACCCGTAAAATCCCAAGAAGTAATTTCACTGCTGTTTATATGCCAGCAGTTCTTGCTAGTTTAACTCTCTCCTTTGTTCTAACTCTAATCCAAACAGAAATCGATTTAAACTGACTGACTAAAAAGTGTGAGAACCTTTGGCAAGTTTCTCTTACAAAAGCTGGGTGGTGACTGTGCCTGAGGTGATTGTGTTACATTTTACTAAATCCAACCCACTGCCTCCTGAGTTATGGTTTATAATTGTGCTCGTTCAACATGTACTAACTCCACTGTAAAATATGTAATGATGGTGACATAGTTTATAAATTACTTCCAGTGTTTTCCCTGAACCTAAACAGATGCTTAGCAACATATCAGATTAAATGTAGTCATTGATAAGGTCAGCTTTAACAAAGAGGAAAGTTTATATGATATAAACCGTTTTTTACAGGCCATGTCCACACGTGAAATCTTTTTCTGATAAATACCCCATGACAATCCCTAAATAGACTCCCTGTTCAGTGGAGTGGCTGTAGCAGCTGGTTAGGGACCGTCATTCAATAGGTATTAAGGTGCAGCAAAGTTACCACAGTTAACGTTCATGTAACTTACATCAGAGCTGCAATTACTAATTATTTGTCAACAATTAAAATATCTGCCAATTATTTTAATAATACTTTTAAATTTTTTTTTAGGAAAACAAAGGTTAAAATCCTTTTATTCCAACTGTGAACATTTTCTATTTTGTTTTTACTCCTCTGTGACAGTAAACTGAATGTATTTGGCTTGTTGAGTTTAACCAAGCTGATAAATTTGAAACCTAATGTAGAATCAAAGATATTTTTAATTACCAATGGCATAATAATTGGTGGCATAAAAGAAAAACTTTGAACGACTTGATATCATAAACTTAAAATGGACAAAAGGGATTTAATTTACTACAACTTGAATATAGTTTCAAATCAATTTGAATCCCACACAACATTCAGTTGGTGTAATTACAAGCATGATGTCATCACAACTCATCGAAAAATGTTTGAAACTTAAAATGACCTGAGTCTACAGTCAAATGTATGAAAAGACTGAAACGGACAAAAACGTTATTTTAAATTGCACATAATATTAAGTTGCTGTAATTACTAACATTACTACCTATTCACACAAACACACGTCCAGGACTGAACACTCAGAGTTTTTCTGGTCTCTCCTAATATGCTGCTACAGCCACAAGATTGCATAAATGCACCTATTTGCATATATGCACACTGTGGGACTCTGAGAGACTGTATTTCAATTTCACTGTATGTACTGCAGACAGAGAAATTGACTTTGACTTATGGTGACACAAATAATCAAGGCAATGTTTGTAACTTAATAGATTTGAAACTTGCAACCATTCATTCAGTTAGATGGTGGTTATGGACAGCTCCACTTTATTACTTTTTTAAAGTGTGATGACTGAACTTTGAGTTTTTATTGACAAAAATAAACTAAAAAGTGTGACATTTCTACCCACCTGTATGTATTTCTACTCATGTTCATCTATATATATATATTTTTACTGTTTTTATTTCTAAGACTTTGAATAGAAGCAACAGTAAGGTCAGCAATTTCCCCTCTGGGATCAAACTAAATACTTTCCATTCTGATTATGGAGGTACAATTTTGCATGGATTCATTACATACACTAAAGCTGATTCTTCTGGGGTCAGCTGATTATTTAAGTGTTTATATCCTGTATGTCACATTCTCCCTCCATTTACAATAAGACAGTGTGGCTTCCAGCACGTCTGTGGAGAAAAGTAATTTGTCGACGCTCCCTAAGCAGACGTCACTGCATTTGGTCAGCGGAGAGCAGACATTGTGCCTCAGTGTCCTGCACCACCAATTTCGGAAAACACGGCGGTCTTCAGTCGCCGAGATCGTGTCTGTCGCACATCCAGCTTCGAATATTCTTTGCCGAAACGCGAAGCAGATACGACAGACAGTAAAAGGCAGTGAAATTAGTTGGGTGGCGCTTAAAAAAAGGCTAACATTTAGCCGGCAGCCAACATTTTATAGGCATGTAGGCGCTGTCTCTCTGTGTGTCGCTCGCTGTAGCCCTGCCTGCCTCATCCCCTCCCCCTCTCTGCCAAACACCGAGCTTAACGCTGTCCGTCTACGGCGAGCTGACCGCTTTCGCTTGTCTGATGGCTAAACGGTGAATTTCGTCCCGGCTTTCAGTTATGTGGCAAGCAGGTTAAGCTTTACAGTGCGCAGATTAAATGTTAGTTGGCTGAAAAAAATCAGCGAGTGTCGGGTTTGTCAGTGTCGGGTCATCGCCGAAAGTCCTCAGTAGACGGGACTCTGCTAACTAAAACATCCGAGCTAAACATGTTGGCTAAGTGACGGTACCCTCGCTGCTGGGTGGAAGAAAAAATAACAGCACAACACATACGGCTATTTAGTTTGTAACACAAGCGCTACCGCTGTACTAAAGTAGCGCGATTTAAGTTGCATGGTGTGTAATTAATTTTGGCCATGCTATGTGGTTAGCCCAGGCAGAACGTTAGCTAGCTAGCTAGCTACATAGCTAGCTAACGCGGCTAATAGTAACGTCGCACAGACGTCAAGTTAAGCGAGAAGTTAAGACAAAAAAGTATTCTGTCACACAAACGGCTTCTCTGCCCGTAACGTTCGTCTCATATCAAAGTCAAAGCAATGCAGCGAATCGCACAGAGCAAGAACAAACTAACAGCAAAATACATGTTGTCAGGTCAGACTGCTTATCGTTAGCCTGAAAGCTAATTCATGGTCGCCGCTCCTCACTGACGACTAGCCTCACTTAACTTATCGGCACCACAAGCTAGCGTAGCCGCCACTGAAACCCCGCGTTATTTCGCTGGAATAAGAAAAAGCACCGAATCGTTAAAGTCACAACAGAAAAGCAACCGGTGTCGGCTCGCTGTTTTTGGTCAGTTTGGCAAGGTTATGCAGCGGGCTAGCAGCTCCGCTACGTTAGCACAACAACCAACCCCCCTCGCTCTCCGGCTAACCAAGCTAGCAGTAGTTGAACTCACCTCCAGCGACTGCCACCAGCAACAACTTGACACACCGGTGTAACGGATCCCGACTAGCGCACCGCTACTCGAGCATCCAGCCGCCGGTGACAGAAAGTGAAGTTTGGAGAAGTGCTCGCAAATGGAAATGTCATAAATGAGATTGGCCGTAGAGGCTACGTCGCTAACAACAGTGTATGTATGAAGCGGTGTTCCCTGAACATAGAGGCGTGTCTTTGGGGAAGGCGGGCTGCTGCGATGCCAGTCCGGCTCCGATTGGTCCGATCCGCAGGATGAAAACAAATACAGCGAAGGCACAGAGCCAGTGTCTTTGGTTAAAGGCGTCTGCTTAGTTTATGGACATGTTAAGTGCAGGTTCGGAGCTACTGTTCTCCATAAAGATAACTTTATAAAATGTGTGCATCATGAACTCAAAGCCACAACACACAAGTAAAGTTGTAAAGTCATTTATACAGTTTATTTAAAACAGGATGTTTCAGTCTAGAAATAGGATTGGTGTCAGGATTTTGTCGACTAAGTTCAAATGTTAAGGACGCTATGATATTGTATATAATACAAACTGCCCTGACCCTTTGAATGATAACACTCCACAGTATTATGTATTATGTCAACTTAAATATATTTAACACACATTTCCCTAAGTAAATCAAATATTACGGTTAAGAAGTTGCATTGTTATTTCTTATGTAAATTTACACGAGTAAGTTCAATATTATGTCTAAAACAGTACAATTATTTTTAATGATTATATTATATATACAATACATATTAGCCGGGTTACATAAAATATTAAGGTTAAGACCTTACAATATTATTTATATTCCAAGTTATCTGGACTCATTAAAATATTAAGGTTAAGACCCTACGATATTATATACACAAGAAGTTATCCTGACTAATTTAAGCATTAAGGTTTAAAAAAAAACAACTACAAAATTATATACTCTAACATACTACCCTATTAATTTGAATAAAAAAAGTTAAGATCTGACGATAATATGTACTTTATTAAATGATTCTAGCTAATTTGAATATTAAGTTTAAGGCCCCACAATATTGTGTGTAATATTAATAACCCCATCTAATTTGAATATTAAGGTTATGATCCTACAGTAATATATGTAAAACAAATGACCCTGACTGATTTAAATACTGGGGTTTAAGACCTTACATTATTGTATACCTTAACAAATGACCCTGACTGATTCTGAATATTAAATATAAGATTAGACTATAACATATACATTTTACTGTAGCTGATTTGAAGAATAATTTTAGACCTTACAGTATGTACATATCATAGAAATTACCCTGACTGATTAATATTTTAGGCTTTTTTCTCTTGATATTATTCCTGCTGAATAAAAACACACCTGCAGGAATGACGTACTCCTCTGATCTCCTTTGTGTCTTTTCAGCCCTCTTAAATGTGCCTGTGGCCTCTCTTTAGGCACATATTGATTTGTTGTAAGTAATTTGTAAACCCTTGACTTTCAGCAGTTCAGAGGTGTTTCAACACATGCTCAAAAGTTTCTACAAAAAGTGAACAGTTCAGGAGGAATCACAGATTTAACAGTTTGTCCACTTCACTGTTGAACCAGGAGAGGTCAGTGCTCAGTTGTGTTTAGGGACAAGAACACAACATACTTTACTGTGTTACATTTGGTATTTCTGAAGATGTGCTGCCCAGTTAAGATATAGATTTGAACATGTGGGGGAAATGAAGTTGTCATAATCTTTAAACA